CCACCTTTTCTCATGAGATAACAAGGTGTAGAGCTGGATGAACAGAGCAGGCCAAGCAGCAGAGCAGCAGGAAAGCTGACTTTTCGGGTCAGCTTTCCCAAAACATCAGCTTTCCCGCTTCTCTGATGCTGCTTGGCCTGCTGTGTTCATCCAGCTCTACACCTTGTTATCTCAGAGTCTCCAGCATCAGCAGTTCCGACTATCTCTGAACCACCTTTTCTCATAATAGGATTATTTAATGAATGCACAACATTATTTAAGAACAAAAAGAACAAAGAACAATGCAGCACAGGAACAGGCCCTTCGGCCTTCCAAGCCTGGCCAACACATTTTGCCTCTCCACACTAACTGTCTTCGCTTACAGGATCCTTATCCCTCTATTTCCTTCATTTTATGTATTTGTCCAGGTGCTTCTTAAATGCTGCTATTGTGTCTGCTTCCACCACCTTCTCTGGCAGCGCATTTCAGGACTCATTTACTTTAGCTATGACTTTATAACATCACTCTTGAACTTTAAAAGATTTAAGTTCTGAAATGCCAAGATTGTTTTCTTTCTCCAGCTTCTTTAATATTTTTCCCTGAAAGGTGTATGCATGTTAAGTATTAAACTTGCCTACAAGCATAATACTTCACTCTTCTAATTAAGCACAATTTATCAGTTTCCCAACACAATAAGATCCAACTGAAGTGCACAGCACCATCTATTGTCCTAAAGCTCTCCTGCACCTTAGTATAATCTGCCTATTTGCCAATCTTGCCCTTCAGCTAAATTTAGATCATGAAAATAGCAAAGTGCATTACACCCAAAAGAATTCCCTGCAGGATATATCAGTGCTAACTAGTTACTAAATGGATCCAGTTATATTTATATTCACTTTCTGCCTGTGCTCTTCTTGCTAGTTCTCAATTCACTGCAATATCTCACTGTTAACGCCAGTGATTTAAAACCTGTAGAGAAGCCTCTTATTTCCATAGATTTCTCATAGTCGTCGTAGATAATCTGCACATTCTCCCCGTGTCTGCATGGGTTTCCTCCCACAGCCCAAAGATGTGCAGGTTAGGTGGATTGGCCATACAAAATTGCAGGTAGTTTCTAGTGACATGGCTAGGTGGATTAGCCATGGTAAATGCAGGTTTACGGGGATAGGGTAGGGGACTAGGTCTGGGTGGGAACCTCTTTAGAGGGTTGATGGAGACTCGATGGGCCAAATGGTCTCTTTCCACACTGTAGAGATTCAATTATTTGGCTCTCAAAAGATATAATATGGAGAACAATTATTTAGTTGATCCAAAAAAAATAGCCAATGCTTCAAATTCACATGGGTACTCTTGAGTAGATTAATAGAATGATCAAGGTTTCACCAGAGCAAATTATTATAATTTTAATAATCTGTGTGCAATTTCTCCAGTGTACACACAATATTCAATTCTAAAAAAAGAGATAGTCCAGCAACTGTTAAATATTTGTTTTTTCAGGAACTATAGTATAAGGGAAGCAGCTACGAATAGAATAGCTGATGATATCAGGCCACATGATAGGTTACAGCGAATAGAAGGACTTACAATAAAGTGGGATCTCTTCCCTTTATGTACGTATAGTCTATTATTCAACAGAAGCTGTGCTGTCTGTCACTGTCCATGCTAAAACATGATGGCGTCATTAAGAGTTTCCTGCAAACAGGAATGGCACCTAGAAACATCTGTTGGCTAGCAAATTTAAACAAAGGAGAGCAGTTGCAGTTGCAGCCATGTTCTAATATTGCAGCAGTTTCTTCCATCTCACTCAAGTCAGATGCAAAAGTTAAGCAAAATCAGGAAAGATTAGAAAAATCTCAAGGTGATAGGCTAGACCAATGAAACACAGTTAAAAAACTGACACACATGGAGTTGATAGACTCCAGCAGCAAAAAAAAATCTCAGAGCAAGTAGACACCAGTGATAAGCCAAACAAAAAAATCAGCAGAACCTCAGATCAGGCAGACTCCCATGAAACCGGCAGAATTTGGAATAGACTACAGCAGTAGGGGCAATTGACAGACATTAGAATATACAGAGACCAGCCATAAATGAAAACAGCAAAATTGTGACAACGACCTCAAGTGGCATGTAAAACCAAAAGGGAAGTTTAGCCTGATTCCCAACGCAATATGAAGTTAACCTTGTTAGGTTTAGCGTCATTATGGAAAAGCCCCTCCACTATCTGAGCCACTTCAACATGTAGATACCCCAGACCAAGTTGCTATTCGTGTCAAGGATCTCTCTGGAAGCAAAATCAAGTTTTTATTCATGGAGATGGAGAGACTTCACAGGGTCCAACATGTGACATGTATGGTTCATCATCCATACAGAGACCAGTATTCCAGGTAAAATGCAAAAGTGGATGGAATTGAGAACTACCATTGTCCTATCTTCCCAACATGATGGGAGAAGACCAAGCCAGAGCAAAGAAACACACACACACACAAACACTCCAATAAAGGCCATTTCAAGGTCATATGTTAAAAAAGCTCCCAGCTCCAAAACTTTAAAGAAGTCTAAGCAGATCTGGGAAAACTCTAGAATGAGAATGTAATAGTTCATGGCCATAATTTTAAGCTGGATACTGGGATGTCCCTTCCAACACAGCACAGGGACTGAAATTTTTCAGCTTCATGGTCCAGGAAACATCCAATTGAAAGTAAAGGGACATCTGACTACTATGTTCCGGTAAAAAAAAAATCAATTAAACACTCTACGTAGTTCATAATCAAGAATGCTTACTATTAAGCCAGAGAGCTTGCTTGGATCTCCAATCAGTATCCAAGCTGGACAAGTTGCACAACCAGGACATATTGGAATAACTCAGCTCAGAATTCTTCAAACTATTGGAATGACCACTGGACCCGAAACATTAACTCTGATTTCTATTCACAGATGCTGCCAGATGTGCTGAGCTTTTCCAGCAACTTCTGTTTTCGTTCTCCAAACTAATCACAGGTCTGGGAAAACTGAGCACACCTTACACTTTATGCTAAGACCATATACCAAACTAGTATGTGTGTCCATTGTACCTAAATGATCACACTGCTTATTCAACTTCAGTAGTAGAAGAACAGACATTCCTTCAAATTACAAGGAAGATGGAAGACATTATTTTTGGTCCCTGTTCCTAACATGGTTGCCTCACTATCAACTTCCCTTTGCATCAGATTATTGGCAAATAGGTTATCAAATTGAGTTCAAGTAAATGTCTAACTACCGATTCCACAGCTTTCTACTTGTTTATCACCTAATTTTTGCCCCTGCCTTAACATATTGTCATGAAGCATGGAACCATAGAATAACTTACAGCACTGGAGACAGCCATTTAGACCATTTATTTGACACCAGCACCCCAGTAATATACCTGCAGCAATCCAGCCAGTCCCATTCTCTTGCCTTATCCCCATTGTCCTATAGGTTTACATCCTTCAAGCGTCCATCCTATTTCTTGGAATATGGAGCTTCTAGTGCAGTGGCTATCCACTGACCTCCCTACTCTGGTACTTTAATACTTTCCAAATCTCTGAGCTATCTGAATGGATTTATTTCTAGCTTCTTGAACATTCTTGATTTTAAGGTCTTCACCACTGGTTGCTATGCCTTCTGGAATTTCCTCCATAGACCTAAAAGCTGCTTTTGGTCTTTCAGAGGCACAGTTTGTTTTATTATCTTCCTTTGAAATAGTTTGGAAATGTTTTATTACATTCAAGACACTGACTGTCAGTTGTTGTTCATTCCTGGGGACCCCTGTAATATATATAAAGCAGAGTGCTTTTTTGTTTTGCTTGGGTTGATCATGGACTTGTTGCACATGTTCGTTTTCAAAACAAAACAGGAGTATCTGACACTTACATGATGCACAGTAAACTGCAAAACATTACTACAGTCACTTGCTTCAGCCTGGAATAACACTATTATATAGAAATTCAGTGTCATGGTAACCTTGATAGAGACAAGCAGTGCTGACCATTATCTAATTTAAGGATTCAGTTCTAGACGATGATAAATCTCAGTTACAATCCCACTGCTAAAATGCAGGCCCTCACACATGGCTAATTGGCATGGTTAACTTTGGTCAAGTGTCCCCTCAAGATTCAATGTGGGTCAAATCTTTAACTCACTCAGTTCTTCTAGCTGTTCCTACTCTTTCCCATCTACTTACTGCTATTCGACCAATAGTCCTAAAAAGCAGGCATAACAGAGCATCTGCAATAGCATTTTTAGACAACTATTCCTGCATAAAGCTCTTCTGCAAATCTCAATTCAATGCACAAGGGAGAAAATTGTGAAAACATCTTTCAGAGCTGAATAGCAACTGAAGTTAACTTGTAATTTAATGTAAGTTTGTTTTTACAGAGTAATAAAGGTACATTTTACATCATTGGATTTGACACGCAGCAGATTTCCACCTCATGTGCTCAACATTTGATTTCTTGCAGATTTCATTAATTTATCATATAAAATATAGAGATTTAAAATTTATACAATGTAGATTCAGAATGGCCAAAGATGCCAATAGAATTTTTCAGTCATTAATTTTTTTAATCCTGTAAGGTCCGTTGACTTCCATGCTCAAAATCCTGATTTGCAGTTGCACTGTCAGGAAACAAATTTATAACTTTTTTTGAGAGCTGGCACTGAAGAATTAATTAAAAACAAGATTGTAAACATATCCTGTAAAACATGAGATGCCTCAAAATAAATTGTCAAATCTGTGGTTTTTACCTTCTTAAAATGTTGACCTTTTGCGCAATATTAATCAACACAGTCAATAATTATATATTGTTAAATAGTTTGCCAATTTTACAGATAGAATCTTAACCACCATGCTAGCATATCTAAACATGTGGGTACACTGACCTTTTATTTGATAAAAACAAAATATGCCTAAGGTAAGTAAGTGTCATTAACAAAAAATTATAAAATCAAAGCAAAAACATTCAAAACATTACAATCATAATTGGAGCAAAGACACTTACCTCCAAATTGCTATTTAGCATCTTCTGCTTTGAGTCAGTCTCCCCATTTTCACCAATGATCTCTAATTTGCGTGGCTCTCTGGCTTGCTTCAGTTGATGTTTTTGTAGTTTCTCATAACTACTTTGTAGCTTACGGAGCTAAATATGCAACTACAAATCATAAGTGACAAAACTTATGAAACAAAGCTTACGTACTTTGTAGGACTTCCTTCATTTCACTGATGCACCTCCAAATATCAGGAGAAGTGAATGTGATGTGAATCACATCCTACTGAACCTACCTGGTAGAGAATAACTCCTGATGCTCTTTTCAGCTTCAGCGCACACTTTTAATGTGAAATGCCCTTTACTACAGTATTAAAAAGGCATGGACTCATCCAGAAAGAGATTATTTTGGTCAATGCTATTAAACAATTATTCAATTACTAAATAGGTTTTCCTTATGCCCTGAGCAAAAAGGCAGAGGGACTGCAATATTGGGAGGACACATCTTTGAAAAATGAAGGTCCAACAAATTACATTCACTTTATTACTACTTCAGTATCTTTCATGAATTTCAGAAGACTAAACCAATATAATTCAGCTTAAGGAGAAAGAAAAATGCTCACAAGGGCAGAGATCTTAGCTACTGAGAAAGATGTGCTAGGATTGGAAATCCTAACAGTAATGTTCAGCTCAAGTACATAGCTTAATCTATAGAACAGCACTGTAGATAATAGCTGTGAAAATGTTTATTCTGAATTGTCATAAAGTAGCCAGAGAACAGGCAAAGTAACCTTTAGTAAATCCCGGCACCTTCTTGGAGTTGGTAACATTGGATAATGTATTCTGCTCATCATTTTGTATGAGGCATATAGCACTTCAACAGTGATTTATTTGGGACTTTGGGAATAGAACTGAAAGCAATTGCCAGGTTTTTTACCCCACAAAGATCAATATCTGGGATGCAATATGTCCTCTGAGGAGGTGAGAATAATGACAAGCACGATGATTTAATTAGTAAAGAGTCCAAAGATCAGACTTTTACAGTTGAGAAAAACTCTTGCAATTAAGTCTTCCCTTCTGAGATGACACAATCAAATTCATCACGTTAGGTGGTAAGAAGCCGAGTAGCATGCATGTGCACCTTATTAATTACACAGCCCACCCAATTAACTTCCCTTTCCCAATTATTCAAAAACTTGACAAAACCGGAGTCAGTTTCAGTCAAGAGATAGCAGGAACTGCAGATGCTG